AGATATAAGGTAGCTAGGAAGGAGGCAAAGATGGCAGTGACGGAGGCAAAGACGACAGCTTTTGCTCGTTTGTATGAGGAACTTGGGAACAAAGGCGGGGAGAAGAAGTTACTCCGACTCGCTAAGGTGAGAGAGAGGACGGCTCGGGATTTGGACCAAGTGAGGTGCATAAAAGATGAGGACGACAAAGTTTTGTTGGGGGATGACCAGATAAAGAGGAGATGGCAGACCTACTTTCATAAACTTCTAAATGAGGAAGGGGATCAGGATATTGTACTAGGTGAATTGAGGAATGCCGACAGCCCCCATGAACTAAGTGATTGTCGGGACATTGAGGTCGATGAGGTCATGGAGGCAATGCGTAAGATGAGAAGGGGCAGAGCCACCGGACCAGATGAAATTCCGGTTGAGCTTTGGAGGTGTGTGGGTAGAGCAGGCTTGGAATGGCTTACTAAGTTGCTTAATGTTATATCCAAGACTAATAGGATGCCCGAAGAGTGGAGGTGGAGTACAATGGTCCCGTTGTATAAGAACAAAGGCGATATCCAGATCTGTAACAACTATAGGGGTATTAAATTACTAAGTCATACCATGAAAGTCTGGGAGAGAGTGGTAGAAATGAGAGTGCGAAGGACGGTGTCTATTTCAGACAACCAGTTCGGGTTCATGCCGGGGCGATCTACCACAGAAGCTATCCACCTTATTAGGAGGATGGTGGAACAATACAGGGATAAGAAGAAGGATCTCCACATGGTGTTTATCGATCTAGAGAAAGCGTACGACAGGGTTCCTAGGGAGGTCTTATGGAGATGCTTAGAGGCTAAAGGGGTCCCGGTTGCCTACATTAGGGCGATTAAGGACATGTATGATGGAGCTAAGACTCGGGTTAGGACAGCAGGAGGCGATTCCGATTATTTTCCGGTTATTACGGGGTTGCACCAAGGGTCTGCGTTCAGCCCTTTCCTATTTGCCCTGGTGATGGATGCTATAACGCATCACATTCAAGGGGAGGTGCCATGGTGCATGCTATTTGTTGATGACATAGTCCTAATCGACGAGACACGACGCGGCGTCAGCGAGAAGTTAGAGGTTTGGAGACATACCCTTGAGTCTCATTACTGCATTATTGTTTCGTTTTTATTACCGTGAATATTATTACGGTGGGGAATTTCTTCCCAACAATTACATTATCGAAGCCAAATTATTTCATTCTATTATTTTTCTAACAACTAGTTCACTACCTATTCCTTAAGGACAATGATTACTAATAGATTTATATTTAGTACAAGATAACTACTATTTCGAAGTGAACCAGAGTTAGTGAGGGAAAAAATATGTTAGTATTAAACAGTCAAACGTTGCATCATTCACTTTTTCAGGTTCACTGAAAATCAAAAAGTGACTAATCACATACAAACATATTAACTCATGAGTTCCTCTTGCTTGTGTGTATGAATAACAGAGTCAGCTCTAGGGTACGAAATACATGTCAATACGTAGCCCTTGTCGATTAGATTCTCATCGAGGAACGAGCCCTCGGATTGGTCTACTGATCCAGAAACCAACTGTCCTGCACATGTTCCACAAGTACCGGCCCTACATGAATAAGGCAATTCCATTCCAGCATTTTCTGCAGTATCAAGTATGTATTGATCATCAGGGATTTCGACTTCATTTTCATTACCATCAGGCCCGACTAGTTTCACCCTGTACGTTGCCATTGCTGAGAATTTGAAATTGGAGAAAGATTTCAAGCCGAATGCTTTGGAAATGCTCTTTACACAAGTTAAAGCACGTCGCGGCCTAGTGAAAGTAGAGGATTGCATTGATGGTGCACCTTTGAGCAAGCTAGACGAAGGAACATTAACAGTTGACATGCTTGCACCTGCGATACATAGAACAACTTAATCAATAAGCTAAATCAACCTCTTAACATCATTAATCAAGATTTAAGAATGTTTTCACCTAATAAAATTGGCATTATATTTTTGGAATGAGAGATTCGCTTAATCCTAAAAAGCCCGGCAATCATAGTCTCGATAAATGAAAGGCACCCGCTCTTATTCCACACAGTCGAAGATAAAGGCCGTTTTCTCATCAAATTGCGCCAGGAAAGAATATAAATAAACTCACTTACTTCTTTTCTTCATTTTCGTTAAAAGAAAAACAAGATCTTAATGCACAATTAAAGTTACCTTACCCCAAACAAGCTAGATGAATAAATGACATACTCTTGTCCAGTATTCTAAAAATAGATTTTCACTTTTACTTGTCACTTTTAGTATATCAAGAGAATACAATTTCTTTTTTCATGTTATACTCATAGTATTAATTACTCATTTCAAATCATTTTCTCAATTCCATTAACAATATGCATCAATTAATATGAGTATCATGGTAAATTAAGCACTTCATTTATTATTTCTTAAAGGGTGTATAAAGTCTCATAGTGGACAAGCAAAAGTGAACGGAGGGAGTATATCTTCACATACACTCTTATCATGAAAACCATAGTTAATTAATACCCATTGTTATCTTAATTTGTGACTTAATCATGCTAAATTAATATAGTTTGTTGTAAACACTAGGTGCGAGTAAATTAATAAAATTCATTTTCCTCTTCCTTTTCTGCTTTCGAAGTAATAAAAAAAAGTATTTTTCTTCCGTCAAGTCTGTATTTATTAGAGTCAAACATCTCTATAACAGTCTCGTTTGTTCCAACAATTTTTTGGCTGCTATAGTAAAATGCTATTATAGAAAACTATGTTATAATATAACATGAAAAACTGATTCCAAAAAAGCTTGGTCGCTAATTCGCTACAATGAAATATTGTTATAGAGAATGAGTGTTAGATATTTCAGAAGATAAATGATTATTATTAATGACTCAAGATGTTATATCCTTATTTTCTTAGAGATACAGATATGTTGGTATAATTATTGCACCACAGCTAGTATTTAACAACAGAAAAATGATTCCATAGACGAAACTCAAAATATTGATTAGTACTTAAAGAAGTAGTAGAAGATATGAACCTTTTGAAGATGATAATCTGAGGAGCTGAATTCAACAAAAAATGAAGAGCTTAGTTGCAATTTCTGTTCGGTTACACACTTCTTCCTAGTTCTAGATATATGTATGTATAATATATAGTCTGAATTGGAATAAACAAACAAAAACAGAAAGAAATCTCATTCACTTCCAACTGTCGATGTGGCAAAAAAGTGAGGCAAGAAACAAAAATGCTGTCGTCATCACGTGATCAGATTGGGGCACAGCACGTGACTTAATTTACATCCTTGCCCTTTCAATATCGTACGAGGCAAGGCTGCAAATACCATGTTTTCTTTTCATTAATTTTTTGGATTAAATTAATAGTCAGTGTTTATTAATACAATCTTCATTTGGTAATTGCAATCACTGTGAATTATTCCTGGGAAAAATCTCTTCATTATCTAATCTTTAGAAGCTACAAGAATTTGTCCTAATAACATGCAGAAATAAGCTGATTAAAAGCGAAAAAAAGACGAGAAGAAAATATGAAAATGTTCTCTCAAAATGAATATCAAATAATATCTACATTAGTATGGATTATGAGAATGTTGGATAATAAAATGTTGCACTTAGTGAAATAATATAGATTACTATAAAGGTCAAGTTTCACGATCACGCATATTTAGCATGTAAAATTTAGAATTTATTAAGAAGTGCAAATTAGCAGATAGCTTAATGGACTACCTCTTAGGAATGTGTCATGAAAGGATCCTTCTCCCTTATTAGTCAGGGGTATGAGTTTTAGTCCTTGGTATGAAGAATCTTGTATATAATACAAAATTGTCAAGTTGATCGAAACTAATTGCATTCTCTAGCCTAAAAGTGTATAAATATGTATATAATACAAATATATACAAAACACACACACACACACATATATTCTCCGAGAAGGCCATATTTGTGCAAATAATCGGTGGAAATAAGCTCACGTAGAAATGCAAGATAAGACTACATACAATAGGTAAAAATAGCACGGGCTAGCCAGTTTTCGAACTCTTCATTCAAAAATAGCCAGCATTTGCAAAGTCATTGAAAAATAACCACTATTTTGCTACAATAGGGACTGGTCCAGCATAATATACTGGAGATCGGTGCATCTGTGTATGAACTTCCAGCATATTATGTTGGAACTCCAACACGCGAAAAGTTCCAGCATAATATACTGGAGATTGGAGCACCTGTGTATGAACTTCCTGCATATTATGCTGGACCGGTATATTATACTGTTTATGCTGGAGTTCCAGTATACTTATGCTAGAACTCCATTATAATATGTTAAAGTTCCATTTTACTTATGCTGGAACTTCAGTATATTATGGTGAAGTATTTTCCGAATTTTGAACACTGTTTTCGTTTAGATTTAGCTTTATATGAAAAGTGGCTAAATTTCGATTACTTTTGAAACTATGGCTATTTTTGAATGACCACTTGTAAATCTAGTTTTTTTTTGAATTTCTCCCAAAAGTCACAATATAGTCCATTTCTTTCCGAGACCTCACAAATAGCTAGAACTTATGTATCGAGCTGCCATGCATCTAGTGCATGCTATTCTTGACATCAGTATCAGGGAAGAAAGTTTCTACTGAATAAAAAGAAAATCATAAAACACTCAAACAGTAAGTCCTATCTGCAAACAAAGTTTGGACACACAATCAATCATCTATTGTTGATATACTGCCACAAGGAGACCGTCAATTGTCCATGCCAATGCAGTCAGTTGATCAGGAACGGTCATTAGCACTCGACAGAATTACAGAACTGACTCCAACTTCATTTCTTTTTGGAGAAGAAAGTCGATCCTTAGACCATTCCTCTAAGGCTTTACGATGCAGAGCATTCATTCGTATATATGGCCGCTTTTCTTTGATCAACTTCTCAGCATTTTTCCAATCTTCTGCTAGACCCAGAGCTACTAACAGTGCACACATGACTGCAACACTCCTTCCATGACCTAGCGGAAACAGTACAAGAATTTACAACGAAATATCAGTGACAAGTTCTCAGTTGACTGCAGTTAAACCAATAAAACATAGGGAAAAAAAACAAAGAAGTTAAGCTAAACAGTCTCCACACAGACATTGCAGTTAATTGGTGCAGTTTAAGTACATAACTTCTCACTACATGCAAGAGAACACATTTGGGAACTGTATTCCGTTTAGGAAATCAGAAGCCTGTGATCTCATTAGGACAGAAGTCCCAGGTAATCATCAGGTTCTTTGGCAGTAACGAGCACTTGAAAAACACAAGGCTGGATGGTGATCAGTACCCACCAAATCCTAGATTTGGGAACTGTAATCCGTTTCCAAACTCTCGCTATACTAACATAAAATACCAGTTGCAATTGCTTTCAACTTTTATAACTAGAGTCAATAGGAATGTTACGTCTCAATATTGGATTGATATTTCTTAGGTAACTGTGAGCTAAGAACAATTTGTTTCATCAACCTTTTAACTCTCAACACAGATCACCCATCCACCATGAACGTGTCGCTAGTAGTAGTCCTATATTTGCCAGGAAATCTAAGTTGCGCGGACTCTTCGATTTTGGTGCCGTCCCATCCCGATATAAGATGGAAACGGGATACGTCCCAGATTCGGTCAACTGACTTCGGATACTTTGACCGGGGTCCATCGACAAATTTAGGAGAAAAATTGAGATTTTGATTTCTAAAAATAAAAAATAAAATAGATTTAGGACAATAAAAGAATAATGTCCATCTTGGAGAATGAAAGATTGAATTCTACAATATTCATGTAAGTTTTTCACAGAATATCTCTCAAAATTTACAATATTTTTATAGCTCTATTTTTTATTAGCCGAATCCCCGCACCTGTATCCATATCCGGGTCCGCACCCCCGAATCTTAAAATTTAGATTTTTCCGAATCCGATACCCGGATCCGTCCTTGTATCGCATATCCGCACCCGAGTCCGAGCAACTAAGTTGGAAATCTATAATTGGTATAGTACCTTATAGGCAGTCTCAAGGACACCCAATGAACCAGCTCAAGATATCTAGAAGCATCCTAAAGAAAAAGATATATATGGGACGAAGACGCCCATGATCCACTTGGCCCACAGATTCAAAGAAGAACCCAAGGGAAGGCTCGAAGACATGAAAATTCAATGAACAATGATCGATTATCCAATCACTATGGATAAAATGAGTGGTTGAGCATCCATTACCTCTGAAGAACAATTACAACCACTTGCGTAATGGTCGCCAGTTAGTATTAAGTAGAACGACAGGCTATATAAAGAGCCTCATCCTTCTTGTCAAACAACTTGGGGGATAGCATGAGCGACAAGGAGAAGAAAAGAGAGAGAAAGAGAAAGAAAGTAGAAAAAGCAAGAAATTGCATGCAGAAGGAAGAAAAAGCACACAACACGTAGAGGAGGAACACATAAAACCGTATGCTTAAAAGAGCCCTTCCCAGCAAAAATCAAACTGATATAAGAGAGGGGTCAGAAGGACATAAAGGAGTACTAAGAGTCAGCGTTAGGCAACATAGCAGGAGGAGTTGAATAATTGGATCTTAGACCTTCAGCAGATCCACATATACTCACACCTGCATAAAGAGGAATACCTTGATTTCAGGAGATATACATGCTCGGGTATGTGACTTAGGCGACAACCGTATCTACGATGAATTTGCAGGGTAAACACATCGGGCGGGATGTAAAGGCACGATACGGGAGAATTGTGAGATCGTTCACTACTATTATATCATTTCCTCTTCTATATGTTGCTTCAGCGTACTCAATGATCATAGTGATTTGTGTGTCAGGGCAGACTCCGTCTCACTCTACCTCTTCAAGACTAGAAGCGGCATATGGAGGAGCAATGTCTGGATGATTAGCAACGGTCGCTCAGAGAACTCACTCAAAGCCCTACTGACAGTGGGTGCCACGGATGGCACCTTAGGACCAATCCATGTACCAGCTAAGAAGTTGAGGAAAGTCCATCATGTAGTCCTCTATTTGCTTTTTCTTTTTTGATAAGGAACAGTTCATCATTGTAGTCGTTATATCAATAAATGATGCATCTTAAGCGAAGCACATTAAACTCCAGAGCAATGAAAAAACAATAAGACAGTTTAACATGAAAATCATGTTGGTAATCTGCAAAACTAACATTGCTCATACAGAACAAAGGCGCCAATTCCAAGGAACATGGGGCATATTCCAACAAAAATTTTGGAGCTATACTTGCTGCTAATAAGAGTCCCCATTTTCTTAGTGCAGCCAAAGCAAGTTATACTTTTATGATTATGCTGGTTTCATCTAATTCCAGTAACAGGGGTTGCAACATCTGTGATTTACAACTTCTTTTTGACCTCTCTTTAAATGCCTGCGACAATTTTCCTTAAATATATATCTATTACACACCTTCATGCCATTCAGCATTGTCTACCATACCAGAAAAATGCTAGCTTTCTCCTTAATAAACATCACTTTAGAAATCCTATAGTGTTTCTTCGTAATGTGTGGTTTCATAGTAACAAATCCAATAGGGTGCCAAAAAAGAACAGTATCAACATTTTACTGAACCGACAAAGGTAGGTGCATCTCTCACTCATAGTTTGGTTACCAAATGCATTACCATCACTCTTCGTGAAATAGTGTATTCACGATTATAAATGAACTAGTTGCATAGATATAGATATAGAGAAAGCCCTTTCTCTTCAGAGGGTGATATTAGGGTTTTGAGATCGGTTCTAACATCGAACAAGTTTTCGACCCAAAAAGCTCGACAAAGCTGTCGTATGCGAGTACTACGAGGCCCATGACTTTCTTGATCGCCTCATTCTTGGATCAAGATGTGGCTAAAGTCTCTTCGATAGTAGTGCATATTGCGCTCAAGTCTCCCGAGCCTCCTGTTGTACCAATGTCTATATACAGTTTTAGGAATAAGGTCAATTTCTTTTCCGGTATATACTGAAAAGACAAACTATTTTTTGAATGAAATATTGATAAGATAAACTTTAGGTGCTTTCATATGATTTTTCCTAGACTTTCTGATTTATCCAAGAAGTTGCAGTAAATAACAAAGTAT